ATTTCTGTGAGGGTTGAGTTTAGGGGTAGGGACGTATAATAAGTGGCTGTTACTGTAAAAAATACATTACGCCTATGGAGAGTCCCTGTAAACCACCAAAACTGACTCCACTGTTCTCCAGGGCTGTGTGGTACTCCTCTATCTGCACAAGCATTTCCCGTGTCTTTATACAGAAAACCCGAGGCAACGTTTTAAATGTCAAAAGATCCCGTTAAGTATGATGAAACACTCTGAATTACAAGGACATCTCACATGTCCTCATAAACCCCCATGGTAGATTAAAACTCAATCATACCCATGTTTTTATACAGACAACTGTCCCTGTAAACCACCAAAACCAGTACATACACACATACTTAGGTTTGTTTCACTATCTTAGTGAGGACATTGCATAGACTTTCATTGCTTTTCTCTCAGGTTAATGATAGAGACTATGGCCTACCCCTAGCCCTAACCCCAAGCCTAAACCTCTTTTTATGGTTTAGGAGGACAGTTTTCTGTACAAAGACATGGGTATGACCTAGTTTTATTCTACTATGGGGGTTTATGAGGACATGTGGGGTGTCATTGTAATTCAGAGCGCTTAAAAAATCATACTTAACAAGGTCTTTATACAAAAAACTGTCCTTGTAAACAACCAAAACCAGCATACACACATACACAGGTTACACACACACATACACAACCCTCACAGAAAACCCGAGGCAACGTTTTAAATGTCAAAAGACCTCATTAAGTATGATGAAGCACTCTGAATTACAAGGACATCCCACATGTCCTCATAAACCCCCATAGTAGATTAAAACTAGATCATAGCCATGTCTTTATACAGAAAACTGTCCCTGTAAAGCACCAAAACCAGTACATACACACATACTTAGGTTAGTTTCCCTATCTTAGTGAGGACATTGCATTGACTTTCATTGTTTTTCTCTCAGGTTAATGATAGAGACTATGGCCTACCCCTAGCCCTAACCCCAACCCTAAAACCCCTTAGTTGTACTTTATTAAGGGGGTTTACAGAGACACACCTCATGTCTCTTTAAATTCTTAAAAATCTTTTAAAATAAAAATCTTTTAAAATTCAAACCTTGCCACAGGTTTCCTGGCGGGTTACAAGGTTTTTTATTAACCTTAACAGGTTTGGTTTAGGGGTAGGGGTGGGGTAGGACCATATAATAAATGTTTTTACAGTTTAAAGTACATTATGACCATGGAGTGTCTCTGTAAACCTTGTATATATGTGTGTGTGTATGTGTCACTGATTCCGCTGTCCTCCAGGGCTGTGTGGTGGTACTCTATCTGCTGCTGTATGTATGTGTGTGTGTGTGTGTGTGTGTATGTGTGTGTGTGTGTGTGTGTATGTATGTGCGTTTGTATGTCACTGACTCCGCTGTCCTCCAGGGCTCTGTGGTACTCCTCTATCTGCTTGTGCAGGATGTTGTGTTGTGCGATCTGCTTCTCCACATCAGTCAGAGTCGGGCCGTAAGCCTCGTCCTGCAGGAGTTTCTGTAACATCACACACACAAACACAGATAAATCAGGCTCTTGATGTTTCTTCACATCTCTGTTTTGCTTTCTGGTTTCTGGTTTAAAGCAGCCGTTTTCGAATCTGTCAGACATGCAAATGTGATCATGCTAATGCTGTAAAATGTGAAAGCTTACGGAGTGATATGTAGTGTTACGAAAACAAATTATCAAAAAAATAAGACAAAGCTTTAAAATAAGGGCTCATTTGTCAAAATCACCAATAATTTTCTACATTCTTTCTCTAGATACATCCAGAAAAGCCACTGCCATTCATCTATAGAGCCAGAAGAGTCTCAAAAATAATACATATACAAAATAAAATCACACATGCAGAGCACAATTCACATTTACAACATACAGTTTGTAAATTCAAAAAATCCAATTCATAAAAATTTCCGGGAAATATTCATACTTTTTACTTGTCAATTTACGAACTGAGTTTTAAACTTATGAATTAGATTTGCATATTCATCAATTGTGTTTTTAATTTATTAATTGGATTAGCATATTCACGAATTGTGTATTGTATTTACAAATCCGATTTGCATATTCATTAATTGTGTTTTTTATTTACAAATCTGATTTGCATATTCATGAATTTTGTTTTTTATTTACAAATCCGATTTGCATATACATGAATTGTGTTTTTTATATACAAAGCCGATTTGCATATTCATGAATTGTGTTTTTTATTTACATATCCGATTTGCATATTCATGAATTGTTTTTATTTACAAATCCAATTTGCAAATTTATCAATTGTGTTTTTAATTTAGGAATTTGATTTGCATATTTATCAATTGTGTTTTGAATTTACAAAAGTGAATTTGCATATTTATTGATTGTGTTTTGAATTTACAAATTGGATTTGCATATTTATCTATTGTGTTTTCAATTATGAATTGGATTTGCATATTCACGAATTGTGCATTTTATTTACAAATCCGATTAGCATATTTATGAACTGCGTTCTGAATTTATGAATTGGATTTGCATATTTACGAATTGGGTTTTTTTAACGAATCTGATTTGCATATTTTTCTGATTGTGTATTTTATTTACACATCCGATTAACATATTTATGAATTGTATTCTTTAAATTACAAATTGGATTTGCATATTTATGAATTGTGTTTTAACTCATGAATTGGATTTGCATATTAATCGATTATGTTTTTAATTTATAAACTGGATTTGCATATTTATGAGTTGTGCTTTAATTTATAAATTAGATTTGCATATTTATCAATTGCGTTTTTAATTTATGAATGGGATTTACATATTTATTAATTGTGTTTTTTTATTTACGAATCCGGTTTGCAAATTTATAAATTGTGCTTTGAATTTCCTAAATGGATTTGCATATTTATAAATTATGTTTTTAATTTATGAATTTTATTTGTATATTTACGAATATGTGCTTTTTAAATTACAAATTGGATTTGCATATTTTTGAATTGTGCTTTTAATTTCCGAATTGCGTTTTGTGTATTTCCGAATTGTGTTTTGAATTCATGAATGGGATTTTGTAAATGTGAACTGTGCTGTGCATGTATGACTTATTTTTTAAATGTGTTATTTTTTTAGGCTGATCTGGCTCCATATTCATCTACCACTTGTTTAGAAATTGTATGTTGCCAGATTGAGGGAAAAAAAAGCTAGAAGATTTGAATATTTCATCAAATGTTTAAGGTGATGAGCTTTATACAACGCCTAGCAGCCTGACAAACATGAGCTAAAAGTAACAAAAGGGGAAAAGCAAATAACAAAATGGGAGGGTGGCGGGAGATGTGTGTAAAATACGGAAGACACTCAGGGAAAAAAATCTGACACCTGGGACTGATTTGAACTAAACTACACTTCAACTCCGAAAACAAAACTGAAGCAGTTACAGATTACTATAGTAATTTATGCTAAGCTGAACTGCATTGACACAATCTACATTGTAAAAGTGCTAATGAAATAAAAATAAATTGAACTGAATTGAAAAGGGCAGTGTTGGCAGCTACAGTCTACACCTCTGTGTGTTTTTCGGTCTCTTTAGTCTTTTTCCAGAGATGCTCCTCACCTGTTTGTCACTCATCAGTTTGCTCCAGTCCACTCCGGGCGGCAGGTAGAGCTCGTGAAGCTGCCCGTACAGATGCCTGTATGTGCCGCAGTATTTGGACCAACGATCGTGCAGGTTACTCACACTACACACAAACACACACACACACACACACGTTAGCGCTCAGAAACAGCTCTGATCTGTAGTATGCTTTAATGTTTTCTTCACTCACTCGCGCTCGATGATGCTGGCCTGCGGGTGCTGGAGCTTCTTGACTTTGCTGACGTCCATGAACAGATCCTTCAGCAGCATCTCAGCCTGAGACAGATTCTCAGCGGCCGGACCCTGCTGTCTGAGAGGAGAGCCCCTGCGCTCATTCTCCAGATCCTAAACACACACACACACACACACATTTCAGAACTCAAAACTTTCTGATCAATCTAAAATCCTCGTATACTGAAGCAATCTGCCAAAGGTTGTGGAATGAGTCTCTTTATACTGTAATAATGTGGATAAACTTCACCTCCATTTCCTGTCGAATCGATTCCTGTTTAGCTCCGCTTACTAGTTCTACGTCACTGTCTGTTTAGCTCCGCCCACTACTTCTGCATTACTGCCTGTTTAGCTCCACCGACTACTTCTGCATTGCTGCCTGTTTAGCTCTGCTCACTACTTCTTGTCTTTTTAGCTCCGCCCACTACTTCTACATTGCTGCCTATTTATTTACACCCACTACTTCTACGTCACTGTCTGTTTAGCTCCGCCTACTACTTCTGCATTGCTGCCTGTTTAGCTCCGCCCACTAATTCTACATTGCTGCCTATTTATTTACACCCACTACTTCTACGTCACTGTCTGTTTAGCTCCGCCCACTACTTCTACGTCACTGTCTGTTTAGCTCCGCCCACTACTTCTGCATTGCTGCCTGCTTAACTCTGCCCACTACTTCTGCATTGTTCCGTTTATCTCCGCCCACTACTTCTGCATTGTTCCATTTAGCTCCGCCCACTACTTCTGCATTGTTCAGTTTAGCTCGCCCACTACTTCAGCATTGCTGCCTGCTTAGCTCCGACCACTAATTCTGCATCGCTGCCTGTTTAGCTCCACCCACTATTTCTGCATTGCTGCCTGTTTAGCTCCACCCACTACTTTTACATTGCTGCCTATTTATCTCCGCCTACTACTTCTGCATTGTTCATCTCCGCCCACTACTTCTAAATTGTTCCGTTTAGCTCCATCCAGTATTCTGCATTGTTGCACAATTAGCTTTGCTGCCTGTTTAGTTCCACCCACTACTTCAGCATTGCTGCCTGCTTAGCTCCGCCCACTACTTCTGCATCCCTGCCTGTTTAGCTCCACCCACTATTTCTTGATTGCTGCCTGATTAGCTCCACCCACTATTTCTGCATTGCTGCCTGATTAGCTCCACCCACTATTTCTGCATTGCTGCCTGTTTAGCTCCACCCACTACTTCTATATTAGTGCCTGTTTAGCTCCACCCACTACTTCTGCATTACTGCCTGTTTAGCTCCACCCACTATTTCTGCATTGCTGCCTGATTAGCTCCACCCACTATTTCTGCATTGCTGCCTGTTTAGCTCCACCCACTACTTCTATATTAGTGCCTGTTTAGCTCCACCCACTACTTCTGCATTACTGCCTGTTTAGCTCCACCCACTACTTTGACATTGCAGTCGATTTAGTTCCACCCACTATTTCTGCTTTGCTGCCTGTTTAGCTCCGCCCTCTATTTCTGCTTTGCTGCCTGTTTAGCTCCGCCCTCTATTTCTGCTTTGCTGCCTGCTTAGCTCCGACCACTACTTATACATCACTGTCTGCTTAGCTCCGCCCACTACTTTTGCATCATGTGCAGTGTGTGTGTGTGTGTGTGTGTGTGTGTGTGTGTGTGTGTGTGTGTGTGTGTGTGTGTGTGTGTGTGTGTGTGTGTGTCTGACCTCCTCCAGCAGTTTGTCGGCCAGCAGGATGTTCTTCTCCACCTGATCTGCGCTCTGCTGTAAGCGTGTGACCAGAGACAGCAGGTCGTTCACCTGCGCCCTGAAAACACACACACATTGAGTATTCACAATTAATATTGACTCTCCATAGCTGTAATAATGTTTCCACTGTACAATTGGTCACCACAATACACACACACACACACAGACACACACTCAGAGACAGGGCCATCACTAATGGGGAGAAAGATGGTAACATGTATAGGGGCCCCCACAAAATCCGGCAGTTATACTATATAGGCCCCTGATCTGTGCAATTTGATGTACATTATATCTGCTCTTTGCCCCTCCCCTACCACACACACACACACACACACACACACACGTACAACTATATTTATGGGTTTCCCCACAAGGTCAAAATTCACTGGTATTGCTACACTTGTGGACATTTGGTGCAGCAATGTAAGGAACACAAGCTAGAGACGCACACACTTTCTCACTCAAACACACAGAGTCGGTCAGCAGTGTGTCAGGTGGTTTGTCAACTTCATCTGAATTAAGCTAAATGAGTGTTTCCTCCAGAGCCAGCATCACTGCTGCATCTGTCAGTCTGTCGCTTATGTGTGTGTGTGTGTTCTGTCACACCCTGCCAACACACACACTCCCACACTGGGGTGTGTTTGAGTCTCTGGAACTCCAGGAATCGCTCCTCCTTCTTGAGGAATCTCCTCACCCTGACATGCGGGGGGATCAAACACACACACATGCACACACCTGACAGTGCTTACAGATTAAACACCTGACATTTCTGAGAATAAATCTCGATGATACGCGTGTTAAATTGTTTTTCTTACATTATGGGGTCCAAATGTCCCCACAAGTAAAGCAATACCAGTCTATTTTACCTTGCAGGGACATTTTTGGGTCCTCATGAGCAAAACAACTCTTAAATCAGACAGAATAAGTGTTTTGAACATGTAAAAGTGCAGATTGCTTGCTGGTTTGGGGGTTGGGTTGGAGAAGATGACATAATATACAATCTGTACAGTTTAAACTTCATTATATCTATGAGGAGAGCCCATAAAGATAGCTGTACAAGTGTGTGTGTGTGTGTGTGTTCAGGTCTGTAAAGTTACAACCGAGCCAGTATTTACAGTATAAGGACTTTAAGTACACATAAAAATGACCTTTTACAACTTGAGAAACTTTTTCAAGAGTTCACACTCAGCTGATAATAGAGCATGTTTGGCATGATGTCCCCAGAGAGAGCCCTGAGCATATGAGATTCTTAAGCCTGGGGCTCCCTCCCGCTAGCAGGGCGAGAGGGGGGTTTGAGCTCAGGTGGATCTTGATGAACTCCCCTGACTTGTTTCGGGCTAACTGACAGATGGCTAAAGAGAGATATGCAGCTTACTAAGAGCTTGATTATGATGCTAATTTGTATGTTCAATTTTCTTAGGTTGCATATTTTTGAACTGTGGGAGGAAACCGGGAAACCCAGGGAAAACCCACAGGAGCAAAAGGAGAATGATTGAACTCTGCACAGCAATGTTAACTGGATCAGTACGGACTTTAACCAGTGACATTCTTGCAGTGAGGCAACAGTGCTAATCACTGGGCGGGCATGTCGCCCAATCTAGAGAGGAGGGCGGAGTTGGGGTGGAAGGGGGGATCTTCAAGATAAAGATACTGAGGTAACAAACACTTTTTATTTATAGTGAGTTAGGAATGGTCTCATTGATGAATTAAGTGTTAGCGTGCTTTCACATCTGTAGTGCGGTTCATTTTGTGCGGACCAAGAGCAATAAATAATACATTGTAGCATCATCTGATTGCTTTGATTCACACCACACTGATTGCTTTGGTCCGAACCAGTTGAAAAGAACCAAAATGAAGTCATCTGACAAAATCCACATCACTCATTGGCCAGATGTTGTTGAACTTAGATCCTAAACTGCTTTTCAATTGGTCAGAATTATTGTGCGGAAAAATGCTGCAAGTAAACAAACCGTCAGACACAAAGGGCTCTATTTTGACGGTCCATGCGCAGAGCGCAAAACACAGGGCGCAAATGCTTTCAGGGCGTGTCAGAACGCATTTTTGCTAATTTAAGGATGGAAAAATCCGCTTTGCGCCGTGGCGCATGGTCTAAAAGGGTTGAGTTTATTTTCTTAATGAGTTATAGGTGTGTTTTGAGAATAAACCAATTAGAGCCTCATCTCCCATTCCCTTTAAGAGTCAGCTGCGTCGCGCCATAAGCGCATTCGCTATTTACAGGACGCAAAGTAAGTCTAAGTGGAAAACTGTTAACAGTTAAAACAGTTAACAGTTGTTTTTGTTTTGTTTTTAACAGAAAACTGTTAAACAGAGCATCTACTGCGTGAGAATGAGAGATAAATGATCTACTTTCACTTTCGCTCTTGGATAGGGAAACCTTTACACACAGACATCAATTAGTCTATAAATAATTAATTGCTTTTGTTAAGCGCAAATATTTGTTTAAAAACTATTTCTAAATTCAGTTCTAATTTCCAGCAAACAAATAAATGAACAATAATAAAGAAGTGTGTTCAAAAACCTGAGTTATATCCTAAAACACATGCTGTGCCCCATATGGTCTAAAACCTGCAGGTGGACAAATCTAAGCTTGTTTTTAATAAAACAAATATAAATAAGGATATAATAAAAAATACTGCTAATAATAATAACATTATGCAAAAGCAAATTGTTATGAATGAACTGAAAAAACCTCCCGAGATGAAGAAGACATAAAAGCAGTGATTTTTCATATTTATGTGGGCTAGAAAATAATA